AACACCTTTTTACCTTTCATTTAGTGGACTTATTACCACATCTAGGTAAAAATCCATTTCAATCAATTTCCCACAGCCATTAAACACATCCAACAGCAATTAAAGTACCAAAGTACCAAAATTCATCACTCATCACCATTAAATCAAGAACATAACCATTAAAGCACAAAACATGTTAAATGGTATGCAAATTGTCCTAATTTCGAAATATTAGCAAATTAATTCAAAAAATTCTCAAATTAAATCCTAGAACTCCTAACTGACTCAAATTTCAGATTCTGAAATTATTTTAAAGCTTTACAAAGTTTCGAATTTTCTTGAAATTGAAACTAGGAAAATTCCTTTTTCAATTTAAAATCTCAAACTCTAACATAACTCTAGTTAATTTAAAAACTTGGTAAATAAAACTTTTTCCTATTTAGTACTTGCTGAAAAACAGATCCAAACTTTAAAAATGAGAGATTTTTCGGAAATTACAGTTTTGACCCAAAAGTTTCGAAATTTATACATGCAACCACACTAGAAGTTCAAATTCTACTTTTTCATGAAAACCCCTAACAAATCTGAAATTCCACTTTACTAGATGCAGAAAAAGAAGTTGAAAAGTTGTTTTATGCAGAAATTTCGGAAATTGCACAATTTACCCCAAAATCTCTAGATCTACACATGCAAGCCTACTAGAGTTTCAAAATCAACTTTTTCTTACAAAAATTCTTTAAATCCGAAATTTTTGTTTAATAAATGCTGGAAAACAGTTTTGACAACATTTTTCGGACTGACTATACAAAAATTACAGATTTGGCCCAAACTTTCGAAGATCTACACATGCAACCACAAAAAGTTAAAAATTCCTTTTTCCTTGAAAACCCCTTTTTGAAATCTGAAATTTTTAAAGCTTTTGGCCAATAAATGTTGTATCTAACCACTATCAACATAGATTATGCATGCAAGAACAAGAATTTAACAAGAAACAGTCATTTTCTATTTTTCTTCAAAAAGCCCTAAATATTCGAAATCTTCCCCAATCTTTTAAAATTTCATGAAAATCATTTCAATACTATTGATGTCCCTTAATTGCAGCAAGAAATCGAATTTCTTACCTTAAGAAGCCGAAAGAAAAGATGGAGGAACAATCAAAGGAAAGTGCTTCAAAGGTTGATGCCAAGCTCTAGCCAAACTACTTTGATTGTGAAAGAGAAGGAGTTGATTTTTAAGAGAGGTAATGTGTATTTTTCTTTCTCGGTGAATGATGCTGAAGGCTAATCAAAGTCCATGATTAAATAGGAGACTTGGAAATGATTTTTCATTTTCTTTGAAAAACAAGAGATGAGGTGGAAGAAGATGAAGAATGGAGGTGGTGGTGAGGTCTCGGTGGAATGGGGGAGAGGAAGACAAGTAATGGGGTGATGTGTTGCAAGAAGGAATTAGAAGAGTGTATTTTCATATCTTGAGTGTGGATTAAGGAAATGATCACAAGATGACAAGTGTTAAGTCATGCAAAAATCCTACTAATTTTATTTATTTAAATAAATCCCACTTGCATATCAACACACACATTATATACACGGTCACACACACACACATCATCCGAAAACACATACACACACACACACACATAAATAAATATATCATATATATGTAAATATACTCTAACATACAATGCAAGTATTAGTATATATGTATGTATATGTATGCATGCATGTATGTACGTGTATGTATGTACGTATACATATAGGTATATATATATATTCCACATAATTTACCAAGTAATTTATCAAACAAATAAAATACGCAATTATTCACATAATTCACGTTATTCACGAAATTCCTAGGATTTCAATTTACGAAAATTTAAATCATATAAATCACACATGTAATAACACATGTAATTATCCACGTAAGTAGCATAGTTAAATTCACGTAATGCATATAATCACGTAATAATATTTCCTAAGGGTTCTCGAGTTAGGAATATTAATCTCGGGTTTTTAGAGTATTCGGGTTTTGGAAAGGTGGGGTGTTACAATCTCCCCCCCTTAAAGAAATTTTGTCCCCAAAATTGTTACCTGAACAACTCGGGGTATCGCTCGCGCATTTCTTCTTCTCGTTCCCACGTGGCTTCTTCGGGTGTATGGTTTTTCCAAAGGATCTTAACGAATTTAAGGTCTCGGTTTCGAAGGGTTTTGGTTTTGAAATCAAGTATTTGAGAAGGTTTTTCTTCGTAGGATAGGTTAGGGTTTAGTTCGACCGGTTCGGTTTTCAATATGTGGTCAGGGCTGCGAATGTATTTTCGAAGCATCGAAACGTGAAAGACATTGTGAAAGTTGGATAAGTTGGGCGGTAAGGCGAGTCGGTAGGCGCGAGTACCAATTTTGTCGAGAATTTCGAATGGGCCAATAAATCGCGGTGCTAATTTTCCCTTTTTCCCAAATCGCATAATCCCTTTGAAAGGCGCTACTTTTAAGAAAACGGCGTCTCCGACTTCGAATTCGAGATCTCTCCTTCGAGTGTTGGCATAGCTTTGTTGTCGATCTTGGGCAATTTGCATTTTCTCTCGGATGTTTTTGATGATATCGACGGTTTGTTGGACTAGATCGGGACCAAGGAATTTTCTTTCGCCAATTTCGTCCCAATGGAGCGGGGATCTACACTTGCGGCCGTAAAGGGCTTCGTAAGGTGCCATTCCAATTGACGAGTGAAAGCTATTGTTGTACGCGAATTCGATTAGTGGGAGGGGGGATTCCCAATTTCCTCCAAAGTCGAGAATACATGCGCGGAGAAGATCTTCTAGGGTTTTGATAGTTCGTTCAGATTGGCCGTCGGTTTGGGGGTGATAGGCGGTGCTGAAATTTAATCGCGTTCCGAGGGTTTCGTGTAAACTTTTCCAGAATTTTGACGTGAATCGAGGGTCTCGGTCGGAAATAATGGAGACGGGAACACCGTGGAGTCGGACTATCTCGCGGACGTATAGTTCGGTCAGCTTCTCTAAACTGAACGTCATTCGAATCGGGAGAAAGTGAGCCGTTTTGGTCAGTCGGTCAACGATCACCCAAATGGCGTCGGATCCCCTTTGGGTCTTCGGGAATCCTTGCACGAAGTCCATTGTGATAGCTTCCCATTTCCATTCCGGAATTAGGTTCGATTGAAGTAGACCTCCGGGCCTTTGATGTTCCGCTTTGACTTGTTGGCACACTAGGCATTCGGCTACGAATCGGGCAACGTCTTTCTTCATTCCAGGCCACCAGTAGAGCTTTTTGAGATCCTGGTACATTTTGGTTTCTCCGGGATGGCAAGTGTACGTGGTTTGGTGAGCTTCAGTTAGGATTAGTCGGCGGACGTTTGGATCATCGGGGACGTAAATGCGATCTTGGAATCGGACGAGACCATCTTTGGTGATTCGGAAGTTGGGATTGGATTCGAGGTTATTGCGGATTTTGAGAATTTGCGGATCATTTTGTTGGGCTGATTTGATTGATTCTCCCAAGTTAGGTTGGACTATGAGCGCGTTGATCGATTTGCGGCTAAGTGCGTCGGCGACCACATTTGCTTTGCCCGGGTGGTAGAGTATCTCGCAGTCATAATCTTTGACTAGTTTGAGCCATCTTCGTTGCCGCATGTTTAAGTCTTTTTGAGTGAAGAAATACTTCAAACTCTTGTGATCGGTGTAGATGGTACACTTTTCGCCGTAGAGATAGTGTCGCCAAATCTTGAGTGCGAAAACGACGGCGGCTAATTCGAGATCGTGCGTTGGATAATTGCGTTCGTACTCCTTGAGTTGACGTGAGGCGTAGGCAATGACCTTTCCATTTTGCATGAGTACGGCGCCTAGACCTAATTTCGAAGCATCACTGTAGACTATGAATTCTCCGACTTTCTCCGGTAGTGCGAGAATTGGTGCCGATGTGAGTCGAGCTTTTATTTCGGTGAAACTGGCGTCGCATTCGGGTGTCCACTGATATTTGACGTCCTTTCGAGTCAATCGGGTGAGTGGAGAGGCAAGCTTCGAGAAATCCTTCACGAATTTGCGGTAGTACCCGGCTAGTCCAAGGAAACTTCGAATTTCCTTCGCGTTCTTCGGAATTGACCAATTTGACACGGCTTCTATCTTGCTGGGGTCGACGGAGATTCCTTGTTCGGAAACAATGTGGCCGAGGAAAGTCACACTCGAAAGCCAGAACTCGCATTTGCTGAATTTGGCGTATAGTTGATGCGATCGGAGGGTTTGGAGTACGGTACGGAGGTGAGACATATGATCTTCTTGGGTTTTGGAGTAGATGAGAATGTCGTCGATGAAGACAATCACGAACTGGTCCAAGTACTGATGAAAGACTCGATTCATAAGGTCCATGAAAGCTGCGGGGGCGTTGGTTAGACCGAAGGGCATGACAACGAATTCATAATGGCCATAACGGGTTCTGAAAGCGGTCTTAGGGATATCGGATTCTTTGATTTTGAGTTGGTGATAGCCGGATCGGAGATCGATTTTCGAGAAGACCGATGAGCCTTGAAGTTGGTCGAAGAGATCATCAATTCGAGGAAGAGGGTATTTATTCTTGATTGTGACTTTGTTGAGTTCACGGTAATCGATGCAAAGGCGGAGGGATCCGTCTTTCTTTTTGACAAAGAGAACCGGTGCACCCCACGGGGAATGGCTGGGTCGAACATAGCCTTTGTCGAGCAATTCTTGGACTTGATCTTTCAGTTCCTTCAATTCCATCGGGGCCATACGATACGGGGCTTTGGAAATTTAGGGTTTCGCCGTTCGCAAGAGGAAAAATGACCGTTTTCGATGCACAGTCGATTTGGGCTTTGAATTTGGTTAACCAATCCATGCCTAGTATAATTTTGAAGTTTTGGATCGGTAGGAGGATTAGATCGAAATTCATGGTTTGAGTATGAACTCGGATTGGACAATTGATTATGACTAGGTTAGAGCACATTTCTTCGCCCGAGGGAATGAGAATTCGGTATTCGTAATTTAATCGATTCGGTTCGAGATTTTAGTGCGCAATTATGTCTTTCGATATAAAGGAATGAGTAGAGCCGGAATCGATAAGAGCGTAAATGGGTTCTTCGAGGATAAATATGGTACCTGCTATCATAGACGGGTCTTGCTCGATCTGTTCTTGAGTCATGGCGAACACTCGACCGGGGACGTTCGGTGGAGGTTTCGGGCAATCTTTGACCATGTGTCCGGGCTGGTGGCATCGAAAGCAATTCCTTGTTCCGTGTATGCATTCTCCGGAGTGACTCTTTCCACACTTTGGGCAGGTTGGCCTTGGCGGCGGTGGCGGTGGTCCGGTTGATTGGCGAATGGGCTGCGTTCCTTTTCCTCGGAATGGGCGGTTGCCAAAGTTGTTCTTTTTCCACGGACGTTGGAAGTTTGGAGTCGTTCGGCGTTTGTTTTGAATTTCTCCCTCGTCTTGGGCAGCCATGAGTGCTTTGTCTACAAGTTGGCGGAAAGTTGAGGCGTCGGACATACGAATGTCTCGGCGGATTTCGGGTTGGAGGCCACGAATGAAATGGTTCTTCTTTTCTTCGGCGTCTCGAGCGATGAATGGGGCGTAGAGGCAGCCACGTTCGAAACGGCAGATGTACTCGATCATTGGTAAGTCGCCTTGGCGGAGTTCGAGAAATTCTTTGAGTTTGTGGGCTCGCACGTCTTTCGAGAAATATTTTTCGAAAAATTGAACTTTGAAATCGGTCCATGGCAGCGTTTCGAGGTTCGTTCCTTCTTTGATTCCTTCCCACCAGTGACGAGCTTCGTTTCGGAGTAGGAATATGGCACAGTGCACGCGGTCGCGGTCGGTCATTTGCATGTAGTCGTAGATGACTTCGAGAGATTTGATCCACTCTTCGGCTATGGTGGGATCGGTTCCACCATGGAATTCGGACGGGTTCATTCGGAGGAATCGTTCGTATATAGCTTGAGGCGCATTATTTTGAGGCGGGGTTTGGTTACGTTGGAGAAGTTGTTCAATTTGACGTTGGTGGTTTTGGGCTTGTTCTCGGATTAAATTCGAGAGGTTATTAATGGTTTGATTGGGGTCTTGTGGTTCATTGGCAGGATTGCTTGGGTTTGCTCGGGTTATACGTCTCGCCATTATTTCTATATTAGTTATCATTAATAAGTAAAGCAAATAAAACACATAAAGAAAATAATACACATACTTTACCGGATGGTCCGAGCTTCGCGTCTCGAGTAGTCTTTAAGCCCGTGAAGTTCGTACGAGTATCTATGAACAATGCTCTGATACCACCGTTGTAGCACCCCCCTTCTAGTCGGGCGATAAATCGAACCGATTTATCGGAATATTTATTAAACTAGCGGAAGCAAAGGATCTCTTTGTAAATATTGAAACACTGAAATGGGGCGAAAATGCAATTATGAAAAATGTATTCCTTTGGGTAATGAAAACTTGCACTTTCAAGAATAACTTTTCTTGGGTTACTTTAGCCGAATAAAGATTTCGTTTTTGGAATGAGTTTCGAAAGGAGGAATTTCGTTCGAGTGCTACAATATCACTATCGGTTTTTGGTTCGAGCAATAATCAGAGTTTTTGAAAGGTTATTTTGGTGAATAATCCAAAAGTTTCTAGTGAAGGCATGAAAATAGCAAATTACGAAACTTACTATATTAAAGTAGGGATTAAGTACGAGTCATAACGGAAAGGAGTTCAAAAGTACGAAAAGAGAAATGTTACGGTTTAAGGTTACACCACCAAAATGAAAATAACCAAAAGTCTAGCATCGTTCATAGGTCCTCGTACGTCTTCCAAAATTCCGGGCAAGACCTCGATCCACTACTCGATCCATCCCGGTTGAGGATTACTACTACCTGGAATTAAAAGACATCTATATGAGCTATAAAGCTCAGTAAGAAATCCGAGTATATTATCGAACTTTGGAAATACGTTATATATAATATATAATATTGTATACCCGTTCTTACCCACGTTTCGCACAACAACACAAGGCAATCGGTCAAATCACATATCTCACGAAAGCACATCATTTAATAAGATCACGTAATTATGCAAAATGACTAAAATGCCCTTTTTGTGAAAATCATGAAAAACACATTTTTCGGTTTATCGGATCCGTGAAAGATTAATTTCTGTACCGGATAATAAACCTGTTACGAGCCCGTTTTCACTAAGTGGAATCAAACCACTACCACATCATCCTAGTTTGATACCGGCCCACTATATCCGAGTTGTTTATTACCCGATATTCCATTAATCTTTCAAATAAAAATCATTTAATGCAACTTTTCGAAATAATGCTATAACCCACACATGACATCACAAATATCAATCAAGTGCCACAAATCACACAATTTACCACATAATTATGATTTGGGCAAAAATCCCAAATTCACACACATAAACACACAACCACACACGGCACACACACCATGCAAAATCACTACCCAGACATTCACACAATTTCAGCACACACACGTGCACAATCAACACATTAAACATCACTAATTACTCATCAAAGCAAGCTCAAGAACAAACACCTTTTTACCTTTCATTTAGTGGACTTATTACCACATCTAGGTAAAAATCCATTTCAATCAATTTCCCACAGCCATTAAACACATCCAACAGCAATTAAAGTACCAAAGTACCAAAATTCATCACTCATCACCATTAAATCAAGAACATAACCATTAAAGCACAAAACATGTTAAATGGTATGCAAATTGTCCTAATTTCGAAATATTAGCAAATTAATTCCAAAAATTCTCAAATTAAATCCTAGAACTCCTAACTGACTCAAATTTCAGATTCTGAAATTATTTTAAAGCTTTACAAAGTTTCGAATTTTCTTGAAATTGAAACTAGGAAAATTCCTTTTTCAATTTAAAATCTCAAACTCTAACATAACTCTAGTTAATTTAAAAACTTGGTAAATAAAACTTTTTCCTATTTAGTACTTGCTGAAAAACAGATCCAAACTTTAAAAATGAGAGATTTTTCGGAAATTACAGTTTTGACCCAAAAGTTTCGAAATTTATACATGCAACCACACTAGAAGTTCAAATTCTACTTTTTCATGAAAACCCCTAACAAATCTGAAATACCACTTTACTAGATGCAGAAAAAGAAGTTGAAAAGTTGTTTTATGCAGAAATTTCGGAAATTGCACAATTTACCCCAAAATCTCTAGATCTACACATGCAAGCCTACTAGAGTTTCAAAATCAACTTTTTCTTACAAAAATTCTTTAAATCCGAAATTTTTGTTTAATAAATGCTGGAAAACAGTTTTGAAAACATTTTTCGGACTGACTATACAAAAATTACAGATTTGGCCCAAACTTTCGAAGATCTACACATGCAACCACAAAAAGTTAAAAATTCCTTTTTCCTTGAAAACCCCTTTTTGAAATCTGAAATTTTTAAAGCTTTTGGCCAATAAATGTTGTATCTAACCACTATCAACATAGATTATGCATGCAAGAACAAGAATTTAACAAGAAACACTCATTTTCTATTTTTCTTCAAAAAGCCCTAAATATTCGAAATCTTCCCCAATCTTTTAAAATTTCATGAAAATCATTTCAATACTATTGATGTCCCTTAATTGCAGCAAGAAATCGAATTTCTTACCTTAAGAAGCCGAAAGAAAAGATGGAGGAACAATCGAAGGAAAGTGCTTCAAAGGTTGATGCCAAGCTCTAGCCAAACTACTTTGATTGTGAAAGAGAAGGAGTGGATTTTTAAGAGAGATAATGTGTATTTTTCTTTCTCGGTGAATGATGCTGAAGGCTAATCAAAGTCCATGATTAAATAGGAGACTTGGAAATGATTTTTCATTTTCTTTGAAAAACAAGAGATGAGTTGGAAGAAGATGAAGAATGGAGGTGGTGGTGAGGTCTCGGTGGAATGGGGGAGAGGAAGACAAGTAATGGGGTGATGTGTTGCAAGAAGGAATTAGAAGAGTGTATTTTCATATCTTGAGTGTGGATTAAGGAAATGATCACAAGATGACAAGTGTTAAGTCATGCAAAAATCCTACTAATTTTATTTATTTAAATAAATCCCACTTGCATATCAACACACACATTATATACACGGTCACACACACACACATCATCCGAACACACATACACACACACATCATCCGAACACACACACACACACACACACATAAATAAATATATCATATATATGTAAATATACTCTAACATACAATGCAAGTATTAGTATATATGTATGTATATGTATGCATGCATGTATGTACGTGTATGTATGTACGTATACATATAGGTATATATATATATTCCACATAATTTACCAAGTAATTTATCAAACAAATAAAATACGCAATTATTCACATAATTCACGTAATTCACGAAATTCCTAGGATTTCAATTTACGAAAATCTAAATCATATAAATCACACATGTAATAACACATGTAATTATTCACGTAAGTAGCATAGTTAAATTCACGTAATGCATATAATCACGTAATAATATTTCCTAAGGGTTCTCGAGTTAGGAATATTAATCTCGGGTTTTTAGAGTATTCGGGTTTTGGAAAGGTGGGGTGTTACAGATTCGATCCACCACTACTCTCTGCTCTTCCTCCTGCGTTAGTGCGATTTTTAGGGTCATTGATTCCGCAATGTTATCCATCGGAGAGAGAAATAAGGATATCAGATCTACTGAAGTGCAAGGAGGCCAGGCGATTAGGGTTTGAGATCTGAGGGAGATGGTGATGAGCGGGAAAATATAATTCGGTTTAGAGATAAAGGAAAATAAATGAGCAGCCGTCGGTATATAAAAGCAGGAAATAAACACACAACCGTAGAAAAACTAGACTCAGATAAATAACAATTAATCGAACCAAGTAAATAGTATGATCAAACGTCCCTGTTAAAATTAACCAGAAAATCAGATCGCTAAACCCCGGTGAAACTAACAGATATAATGCCTCTCATGGAGAGAGAAGTTTGCCTCTCATGGAGAGAGAATTTTTTTCAACTATTGATATAATAATTAATAATAGATAAATGCTGACTCATTCAACTAACCATCACATTAACTGTTATAGCAGATCATAGGACCAAAATTCCCAACTTTTGTAACTTACAAGATTTAAATTCTAATTTTAAAACATGGTGGACTAAAAGTCTCAACAAGTAAACTTACAAGACTAAAAAACTCATTTTGCCTAGTTAATTCATTTTATGGTTTATATTCACGCTTAATGGTGGTGCCGTGTGTTGGAAGAGTTGCAAGCAAAGCACGAAGGCCGGTTCCACTACCGAAGCTAAGTATATTGCAGCGTCCGAAGCTGCGAAAGAAGGGACTTGGATGAGGAAATTCATCCAAGAGTTGGGTGTCATTCCTAATGCTAATGATCCAATACCGTTGTACTGCGATAACACCGGAGCCGTGGGGCCAGCTAAGGAGCCGAGATCTCATAAGAAGTCCAAGCATATTCTGAGGAAGTATCATGTGATCCGAGAGGTCATTGATAGGTTGAAGCTAAAGTAGAACGAGTCACCTCGGAAGAGAACGTTGCAGACCCCTTCACGAAGCCTTTACCAAGGTCGGTCCACGAGCAACATCGAGAGTCGATGGGATTACGATTTATGGGTAGTTGGCTTTAGGTCAAGTGGGAGATTGTTGGAGTAGGTGACGAACAAGCCAACTTGTGGTTGTGTTCTTTCACTAGACATCACCGTGACTTCACTAGAGGACCAGCTGTATCGTGACTTGTTCCTCAGTTCCACCAAGGACCGCCCCAAGGCCCAGTGTTCGTGCATTTGGAACTCTAGTGGGAGGTCTGTGCATTGTAGTCGGGGATTCTATTGCTAGAATTGACCTTGATGTCCTATGTGTTCTCATAGTTTGTAATCTTAAAGTCTTTGGCCAGAACTGACTAAGTGATGATTAGGGAATTCGATTCTGTAAGTCATCCACGTACCGATTACAACACTTAGTACGATCGTACAATTATTGAACTACTACGGAGGTCTCGATGAACCAATGCCTCTAGTTCAATCGGGACATATGAATCGAAGGGATCGTACTGTGCGCTAACTATATCAAACGGTTCTTGCAGGCACTTAATTTGTATCTA